GAGGAAGCCATTGCTGTCCAAAAAGAATATTGCAGCACGTTTGAAGTTTGCAAAAGAGCACCTGGATGTTCCACAGCACTACTGGCAAAATATACTGTGGACAGATGAAACCAAGATTGAGTTGTTTGGGAAGAACACACAACACTATGTGTGGAGAAAAAAAGGCACAGCACACGAACATCAAAACCTCATCCCCACTGTAAAACATGGCGGAGGGAGCATCATGGTTTGGGGCTGCTTTGCTGCCTCAGGGCCTGGACGGATTGTTGTCATTGATGGGAAAATTAATTCCAGAGTTTATCAAGACATTTTGCAGGAAAACGTATGACCATCTGTCCGCCAACTGAAGCTCCGCAGAGGATGGGTGATGCAACAGGACAATGACCCAAAGCATACAAGTAATTCAACAAAACAATGGCTGCAACAGCACAGAATACGCCTTCTGGAGTGGCCCAGTCAGAGTCCTGACCTCAACCCGATTGAAATGCTGTGGCATGACCTTTAAGAGAGCGATTCACACCAGACATCCCAAGAATATTGCTACACTGAAACAGTTTTGTGAAGAGGAGTGGTCCAAAATTACTCCAGATCGTTGTGCAGGTCTGATCTGCAACTACAGGAAACGTTTGGTTGAGGTTATTGGTGCCAAAGGAGGGTCAACCAGTTATTAAGTCCAAAGGTTCACATACTTTTTCCTCCCTGCACTGTGAATTTTTACATGTTATGTGCAATTAAACCATGGCAACATCTAATGTTTGTGTAGTATTATGTTGGGCAGACTGTGTTCTTCTATTGTTGTGACTTAGATGACGTTCAGAGCACATTTTATGCCCAATTCATGCAAAACTCCACGTAATCCCAAGGGGTTCACATACTTTTTCTTGCAACTGTATCTATCTATCTATCTATCTATCTATCTATCTATCTATCTATCTATCTATATCTCTATATATATATATATATAATATATATATATATATACTGTATATGTTATATAGATTGGATTTAACTGATGTAATTTTCCAATTCTTAATCCTTTGTGTATAATATTATCAGCAATGTTGGATAATGCTGTGCTATGTATATAAAATATATACAACTATTATAATAATGTGTGTATGTGATAATTTAAAATGTTCTGTAAAATAAAAATAGTATTTACAACTTATATAGTAGTAAACCTTCACATAAATGAAGCCATAAATAAAATAGATGAAATGACACAGCCTTTTTCCAAGAAAGTAATCCAGATAGATATATAGTGCAATATAAGTGTTACATAGAAGCTATTTCCTTTTTCGTAGACACACATATTGCTTTTCTGGGTGAGGTACAGCATCAAGGTCGCAAAACCTTTTCTGTCTTAATCTACAGACCCATCTGCCTTTGTTAATAGAACTGAAAGAAAATACTACATAGTACAGCAACATTTTTAAAACAAACTAAAATTTAATAGATCACACTCTATTTAAAATATAGTTCAATTATATAGCAGCTCAAAGCAAAAAAGCATATCTTCACTTCAAAGACCAATATTCAGTTTTTTTCATCAAATATCTAATACTTCTACACTGTTTTAAATGAACACAAAAGCAAAAATATGATATACAAATTTTAATAAAGGGACTATCTAATGTCACATTTTTGTTTGAGTTTTTGGCTAATGTAATGGCCTCCGTTATATTGAGAATATGTTTAATTCAACATCAATTACAGTATAAGACAAAGTATGTCTGCTGCTGAATTGCATTTATTTTAAAAACTGCTAGCAAAAATATTTGCCTGTATTTCTCAGCATTGAGGACGCTGTTGGAAAAAAATCATTCTACATTTGCATCTTAGACCCACCTAAAATGGAACATTACCCATAACAACCTAACTAAAAATAATGCTTAGCAAAGAACATACATTCCACATAATTATGCTACAAAAACTAGAACTTAGAAATCAAAATCAAATCAAATCAATATTTGGTGTGACCACCCTTTGCCTTCAAAACAGCCCCAATTCTTAATTTCTTCTATGTACACTTGCACACAGTTTTTAAAGGAACTTGGCAGGTAGGTTGTTGCAAACATGGTTGATTTTGAGAACTAACCACAGATTTTATGTGGATGTAGGATGCCTCCAGTCCTTCTGTCTCTTCATGTAATCCCTGACAAACACGATGATGTTGAGATCGGGGCTCTGTGGTGGACAAAACATCACTTCCAGGACTCTTTGTTCTTCTTCACACTAAAGATTGGTCTTAATGACATTGGCTGCATGTTTGGGGCCATTACGCTGCTGCAGAATAAATTTGGGTGCAATGACATGCCTCTCTGATGGTATGGCATGATGTAAAAATATCTGCCTCTCTATTTCACAGCATTGAGGACCCTAAACATTCAGCTAATGTCATTAAGAACTATCTTCAGGTCACACCAAATATTGCTTGGATTTGGATTTCTCTTCTGTTCATTTACTTTCCACTTTGTTCATTGATAAAATAAACTACTATCACTTCTCTTTTTGAATCATTCTTTACAGCATTTTTTCACACCTGCCTAAAATGTTTCCACAGTATTGTAAATATATGTACAGTATATTTAATTCAAGCGGGACTTATAACGGAAGGAGTTTTCAACATAGTCCTGCTGAGTGTATCTACTGACTGCTTAATTTTTTGCATACTTTTTCATGGATTGCACTTGGACCATTATCTCTACAAGCATGTGCAATGGCCCACTGCTGCTGCTAAAAAAAAAAAAGTAATCTATCTGTAAATAACAAAAGATAAGGTAGCACGTATGGGGTTTGAAAGGTGAACACACAGTGATGAAGTTTTATTTCAATGTTTTGACAAACCCTCTCATCAAGGGGTATACATGTTTTTTGTTTTCATGGAGATATAAAAACAAAAATTCCTTCACTGCGTGTTCACTTTTCAAACCACATCTGTGCTGCATTATCTTTGGACTATATGAACGTCATGCTTTGCTGAGCACCCCGGACCCACTTTCTTTTGGGTATGTGTGCAGTGGCAACTACTGGATTATTTATATTGTACGTATATATAATCAAGTAGTTTTTTTTACATTTTACAAATAAGTAACACTGGAAAGAAATAATCAGCTGCTGCCATCAATGTGCAAACAATAAACTACATCATTGCTTTCTCTTTGTTACCTGAACTCACTGATCACAGTTCCCAATTTAGCTTACAATATTAACAGTGAAATAGATATTTACTCAGCTGCAATTTTCTGAGTCATTTGAAGAACTAGTTATTGCTGTTACACATGCATAGAAAAATAATTTCATAACAATTAGTCTGTATCAAAACATGTGAAGTGACAACCTTAAAATAATTTAAAACATTGTGAGGACATAAAGGGAAACAAATAAAAAAAAAAAAGAAAGCTTATTCTGTAATACAAAAATGAAGGGTTACATTGTTGAAAAAGAAACTCCAGTATGTCTGAATCTCTTTGAATATCACAGTAGTTACTGGATTTTGAGATTTTGGGAAATTATTAGGGTCCAATTCCTACAGTGTTTGTTAGATAAGTTAGTTAGTTAGTTAGTAAGATAGTTAGTATATACACTTAATTAAGAAGAAGTAGAGTTACAAAAATGTAGCATATAGTATCAGTGGAGAAGGATATAATTTTCTATTTTATTACTAAAGTAAAAAATAAAGAAAATAGTAAACATATCAACTGACACCTGTAAATGTCAGCTATACACAAATCAGATTTATTTGTTAATTTATTTTCCTGAATAGCTTAGTTCATTACATATTTATATTTTACTGTAATATTTTACCTATCATTAACATTATTTAAGTATGCAGTCAAAAAATATTTAAAGATAAAGTTTTTAAAAAAGTTAAAGAGAAACAGGGGTTGATTAACTAAAACTAGAGTTCAGCCTGGTCACAGTCACATTATCCAGCAAATCCAGCTACTCTTTGTCAGAGAGCAGCTGAAAACAGAGGGGCAATGGGAGCTGGTGGGTGATGTCACAGCTATGGAAATTCATAGCTGTTGTTGAGTGATCCCTTATACAGTGGAGCCAGAGCTGCTGGATCATGTAACTGGACCAGGCAGGATTATAAAAAGGCATTTATGAAGGATAGGATGATAGGATTAACTAACATGTTCAGCCAGTGTTAACAATGTATGGTTCCTATCACAAGAATCCACTAGCTATGAAAAATAGGTTATGAAGTGTGTTATATCCAGCAATAATTAAGAAAAAAAATGTATAGCTATCAATATACTGTAATGGCATTATGTTTTTTTTGTTCAGTTTTCTGTTAAATAGTTGTTATATTACATTTTTATGTTTATGAAATTGTTTATTTTACAAATACATTTTCTGGATGGATCCATGGCATTTTACTTGAAAAATATCTGGCTTTTCTAATACGAAAGTTCAGCACTACATTCATGCAAACGTTTTTAACACTAGTTGCTTTTTTTGCTAGTAGAGGAGGGTAGGCTTTCCTTCCTCTGATTCATTCAGCACTTTTTTTCAGCCCTGCAGCTTTGAGTAAGATAATTCCCAAAGCCTACAACTTGCATAAAACTCAACTTTCTGGCTGTAAGTGTTGCATAGATTTTTAAAGATTAAACAAATAAAGCATAATAATTAAAAAGCATACTTCCTTTTTAAAATATTTGTAAATTTACATTAGGTTTTTCAAGGTATTCATTTACTTTTACAAATCCCTGAACACACACCTACTGCCAGACATACTCCCATTGAAGATTAAGTTGGTACTTTTTAAGAACCAAGAAACTGAAAAATGTTTATTATATGACATTAAAATGTATTATGTTAATAATGCTACTACTTTAATATGTGGGCATGAGTATGAAGTTATATGCAAGTCTGACAATTATGAAGCTTGAAGTATATTGTTTTTGTAAATCTTGATATAAACTAATGGCTTTGTATATTACATGTCTTCTTTCTTTGCCAAGCAGATATTATTTTAAATTTCCGAACAACCTATGTCAGCAAGTCTGGCCAAGTTGTATTTAAGGCAAGATCTATTTGTATCCACTATGTTACAACGTGGTTCGTCATAGATTTAATAGCTGCTCTTCCCTTTGATCTCCTTTATGCTTTTAATGTCACTGTGGTAAGTGTATTGCACCATATTTTTAGCTGAATAAAGAACGAATATATTGAATATAATAATTTATATGTAATAAATAATTAATATACAAAATTGCATTTAATATATTTTTTCATTCCTCTGATTTAAAAAAGTGCAGTATTATTCTGATCACAAATACATACAGTCTACAAAATGTTTTTACCTTCCTTTTTCAGATATAATTTAATTTGCACCAAATTCAATTCTTCACTATCTCTTTTCCCTCTCACCATACCTTTAGATGCATATCCCATGCCTTTGTGTCGTATCCTGTTACCCTAGGTGGCCTATGAATCAGCAACATTTTATACATGCAGGATTTAAAATTTGCTGCTTGGGGTCTATGCTGTACTTTGAATTCAGTTCTCTAAGCTTCTGAATCCCAAATACGAGATACAATACACATTGTAAGACTGCAATATTTTATTGCTTGCACTTCAAGCAGCATGTATTTTAATACATTTTTTAAGAGCAATTTGACTTACAGATATAGATAAAGTGTAGAATTGACAGGTCTGTGTATTTGTCATTGTGAGATATTAAACATATTTCACACTGGGGACAGGAAAATACTTCATAATCAATGTAAAAAATGTGTTTTATTAAAAGCTGATGGAGAGACTTTGAACTATATATTTTCTCATTTTACAATTTTATCAGTATTTCAATTATTAATGTTAAACTGTGTATTGCATGCCTTTTGACTGCACTTAAGTGCTTTAACTCTGTTTAACAGTTTTGTCCTTTTGGGGCTTTTCTGGCAAGTTTTCTTTTTTTCTTAAAAAAAATTATTTACACTAAGACACTATAGAAAACAGTATGTCTCTGATAACTTTATATGCAAATTCTGACTTTCAGAAATTTGTCATTTGCATAGGCTTAAAGCCCAACTCTGAACAAAAAAAATTTCCCATGTAGTAGGGCTGTGCCCACACTGGAAGAGTTAACTGCTTGTTTTGTGCAGGGGAGAGGAGAAAGCTGTATACTCACCCAATCCTCTGCTCCACCAGCAAAAAGCACTCCCCCACAATTCAGTGGTGGACTGTTCCCGTTGTCCTCACATCAAGAGCACATCTACACAAGACAGCTAGATTGTAGAGGGATAGAAAACAAGGGACTGGATGACTAGGTATTTATATGTTTGTTCTTAAATCCCCTAGACAAAAACGAGAAGTTACCCCTGCACTGTACTGCATGGGAAAAACTTTTTTTGCCCAGAGTTGGGCTTTAAGCACACCTCCCCACCCTTCATGACAATGGTCAGGTCTGACAGTAGGTCATTCAAGCATTAAGTGCTATGATGTGTTGAAGGGGACAAGGTGGTCTCCTGACTCTGCCATACCCTGCAGCATGGAGCTTTTTTTAGGCACCAACTGTGCAGTAAATATGTGGAAATTTACATACAGGTGCCATGCGGCTTCTGTTGGTACCTACTATAAACAGTTGAAGCTTAGTTTAAATGGTCTGGTTAGAAAATATGTTCACTGTAATCTAAACATTTTTTAAATGTTTTTTTTAAATGTAGTGGTCTGATTTATTGAAGTCAAAGAAGGTTTCTTAAACTGAAATATAACTTAATAATGAAACTGACAATAATTCATATATTTGTAAGTTATGACCCCATGTGAAGATATTGTCTGCTTTAAACATAATTTAAAAAAATATTTAAATTCTGATGGGCCAACCCACTATACTGTGTGTGTGTGTGTGTGTGTGTACCCACAGTTATATTTGTGGCATTTTCCCTAAGGACACAAGTATCTCTTTTTATAACAATAATTGGAGTAACTTTTAGCAGGTGATTGTAGATTTGAAAGCATAGGTCCACTGCATGCCCAATGTATGAAAGTTGAACTTCAGGCAGCTACAAAAGCACAGGTTAATTCATGAGCACATCATTAAATGTACTATTTTAAATGCAAGCAGTGTTAGTACCTGGATATGAGTTGGTATCAGCCTCTTGCAATGCTTTTTACAGCAGAGCTCAGATAAGTAGGAGGAAGCACAGCACAATGAGAGCCAGTCAGTTGTGCTGCAGGGCTCATGTTTTAATGAGCAAACATGTTTAAGGGGGAAAAGAGCAGAATGAGAGAAACATGTGTTAATTACTATGCTGTTTCTTCTTCCACTTTTCAGTCACAGGCTAGAGTAGGGAAAATACACGTAAGTGTTATTTAACTGCAGCAGAGAAAAAAAACAGGTTTTCTGTCCTACTAGACAGAGCTGTGCTGTGTGGCAGAGCTGTGTAAATCTCAGGACTGGAGGGACAGACATACTAATTCTTTAGCAGGTAAAATAGCTCATATATATCCATATCCTATGTGTTTTTACCTGTTTGCCTGTAGCTCAGCTTTAAGTATCCCTCTCCTTGATGCTGTTCCATACTTTAAATCAATAATGTGGGTTTAAAAAGGGTACTACATTGTGTTTGTATTAAGGCCATTTGGAGAGCGGTCAAGAAAGAATAAATTAAATACATTTTTTTAAAAAGTAAGGAAGTTTAAAATATATTTGACCAACATTCCTGGCTATTTTCTTATTGTATATAATTGTCAGGCAGTCACAACATAAAAAAAAAACTTACTACAGAAAAATCAATGTTTTAAGAAACTTGTGACACTCATCACCTTAACACACCTCTACTGTCATATTGAGTATAATTGAAACATACACTGACTGGCCACTTTATTAGGCATACCTTGCTAGTACCTTCAGAACTGCCTTAATTCTTTGTGATAAAAATTCATCAAGGTGTTGGAAACATTCCTCAGAGATTTTGGTTGATACTGAAATGGGTTACTGTTGCCTTTCTATAATCTCAAACCAGTCTGACCATTCTCCTCTGACCTCTGACATCAACAAGGCATTTTCCTGCACACAACTGCTGCTCACTGGATATTTTCTCGTTATCGGGCCATTCTTTGCAAACGCTAGAGATGGTTCTGTGTGAAAATCCCAGTAGATCACCAGTTTTTGAAATACTCAGGCCAGCCCATCTGGCACCAACAACCATGCTCAAAAATACTCTACACATAAAATATGGCTTTTGCTCAACATCTCAAACCCAAAGTATCTAAAAAAGGAATCTCATTTGTGATTGAATATTGACAGAGACCATTAACAACAATAGCAAACATTTATTAATTAAAATAAAACATAAACACAACAACATTAACCCAATATAAAAGAAAGTTATGGGTCAGAGGTAGTGACCATTGGTCCAATGAATCAAATGTTTTCCTTATAATATTCATATAATCCATTGGTAATTACATTTTGAAAAATATATAAATGTTGATTGGACTGAGAGCTCTCAGAGAAGAGGGACAGACATAGAGAGTAAGGAAAGCAGAAAAAAAGAAGTGTCAACTAAAAAAATGCAGCTGCTATATTGATATATTCTCTCTGTTGCTCATTTTGTGTGAAGATATTCTGGATAAACCATAAGGATCCAAAATGTAATGGAAGTCAAGAAATAGACTGGTGGACATAAAAATGACCAAAAATTACCAAATAGTGATTTCACTAGATCAATTGCATTGAACCATCCTTAATGCATGTGTATGGTTGTAGAGTGTCCAGGTCTGGAAAGGAGCAGTAATCCAGAGGAGGACAATAACATGTGAAGACTGCCTATTGATGTAAATCCACTTTCATATATGTATAGACAGATACCTCCCTCATACATAAAGCCATTGAAGCTGGTATGCTTCCATGCAATTAAGCATCAATAATGCAGGTGCAGAAAACAGGCACATATCTCATGGATGATGCAATGAAAATAGACACCATTCCAATGATTCAGAGTATAGTCCCTCTTGTCAAGGTGTGAGAGAAAAGTATACTTAACAGTCATAGACACATCATAGATCCAGGTGTGACCAAGACTGGTTTCGCCGCCCCCCTCTCCCCCCCAGCTGCATCAGAGGCCATGACCAATAACCATGCCATGTTCAAAGTCACTTAAATCCCATTTTTCCCCCAATCTGATGCTTGATTTGAACTTCAGCTAGTCGTCTTCACCACGTCTAGATGCCTAAATGCATTGAGTTTCTGCCATGTTTGGCTGATTAGCAATTTGTGTTACCAAGCAATTGAACAGGTGTACCTAATAAAGTGGCAGGAGGCTGTACTGTATATATTGCCATGTTGCTGACATAGTCACACAAATAAATTACCTAACATCCATATCCTCTCAGTTAGATGAAAAAGTAGATATTCTTCAGATATATATATAATAAATTTCAGGAGTTTGCTAACTTTTCATGGATGGAAGTAGGGTGTTTACAAACTGCTACAAACAGACTTGTGTTTCAAAATGGCCTGTTCAAAAAACCCCCCCAAAAACATACAATGAAAACTCAGGTTTCAATCAATTCATTAATGCTTATATACATTCTACATTACCTACAGACCCTTTCATGAAATCATTATGGAATACGTTTTTTTAATGCTTGACAAGAATGTGGGAATATAGCCCAAAACAGAAAAGACACCACTCCAGGTCTATGCAGCAGGATCCATCCAACACTCCAAACGCAGAGGTGCTCACCTGGTTCGCCTCCGGAAACAGTGGAAAATCAAAAGAAAATGGCTGCACACTCTGCTGGAATGTGTTGATTTATTAGAAAAAGCTAGTGTTTACGAGCTTTTTATAATAAATCAACACATTCTAGCAGAGTTTGCAGCCATTTCCTTTGATTTCCAAGAATGCGGGGATAAAAGGGGTATGTTTTCGTGGTACACTACATTTCTTTGATAAGCATAGATAAGCAATTGAATGTCATACAGTATTGTTTTAGTGTTTTTCATCAGCATTTTTTTTGTCCCTGGAACATAACAGCAAATTCACAGTTGTAAACTCTATTGCATAACATTTTTGAGGTAAGGACAGCTCTAAACCATTTATTAAACTATGCAGCTGAAACT